CATTGAAGCACTTTACTGGGAACAATCCAATAAAATATTATGCAGTTACAAAAAAAAGAATGGGGAAGTTACTTACGTACTTTTACATAATTATTTACAAAATATGTTAATACAAAAAGAGGTAGAAAAATTTGTATAGTATGCTACCTGCCATTTATGTAAGAAGAGCAGAAAAATAACATTTGTATTTGTTTATATATTAATAGAGTTAAATTCCATTTCTCTTTTCCCATTCTCATTTTCCTCCTCCTCTCCTCACAAAAACATGACAAAAATTTCAGGATTAATTAAATAAATGTGGTTACCTTACTGGAAAGAGGGTGCCAGCTGGGGCAAGTAAGGATGGGGTGGGAAGGAGACTGCTCAGTGCAGATTTTTATAGATATTTTTAACCAAGCAGGTTTATTACTATTTTAAGTAACAATTTTAAAATTTTTTTAAAAGAATCTCTATTAAGAATTTGTAAATTAGGCCATAATTAAATCTGTTTTGAGTCAAAGCTGAAATAAAGTCAATTAAAAATCATAAATTCCTATGTTTTTCTAAAACATTTCTATACTTAATTATATAAACGGCCAGTAGTACAAGATCTTAGGTCTAAAACCTTTTTATTGAATGTTTATCCGGGAAGTTCAGGTTTGCATGTATCAAGAAGGGAACAGGCATATGATTTAGATGATACTTCTATTCAGTTAACATATTTATAATTTAGTAAAAAGGCTGCCCTTTTACCAAATGTGATAAGCTACTTTCTCAGTTTAATCAGATGGAATCAAATTGTTGGAACTGACTTTTTTTTGTTTTATATGTATATTTTTTTGAATTGTCCACTATTTGGCCACTTCTATTTAAAGTCTTCCCAGGGTAACTTCTTTAGGTTTTAAAATTACATATAAAATTAGAGGGAGCATAAATGAGATCCTGTTGGAAAGCAGTTCAGCATCTACAAAGTTCTGGCAATTGACCTAATTATTACATTTGGTCAAAGAGAACCTTCCAAGGACAGAGTTTCCACAGCCTCATTCAAGTAATTTATAATTTAGGTAACTGTTTTACAGAATTTGCCTGGATTATTAGATCTGATCATCTTTCTAAGCAAAATTTTTTTATACCTCAGTTTTTGTTTTTTAAATCAACACAAACTTCATGTGAAAAATGTGATTGCAGTTGGAAGCCTGTGCAGGGAGCAAACAGTACATCTGATGTGGTTTAAAAGTAAATTAGAGAAAGTCACGCAGAAGCAGATCTTCTATGTTTTAGGAAGCTTTTGAGTAGTCTTCCTCAGTTAAGGAAATCACTTAAGGGGGAACAGGCCCTGGGGTGGGTGAAGGGATAAGCAGGGTGAAAAAGAACCTTTTGTCTTTCAAGCAAGGTTTTACTGTTCAAGGAACAGCCTGTAGCAAAGCTGTCATTTGGAAAGAAATAGTCTTTTTACATAAAGAATCCAGAGCCTGCAGGGAGAGAAGTTAGAAAGACTCCAGGTCAACCGGAGTAGCCTGGAGACAGTAACCTGGAGAGGAGGATCAGTCTGACCGAGGACCTGGGGTTTGCGAAGGAACTGGACAACTGGACATATTCGTTGGAGGCGGGGGAAGCGCTGATTTGAGCACTGGGTGCAGCTGATGATCTGGCCTCAACAGCTGTTTGGCAAACAAGGGTTCAAGCCTGTGAGCAAGCACCAAGAGACCTTTGTCAACCAACTGCGTCATCAGTCTCTGATGGTGTTTGGAAATTCTGATGTTTGCAAGTATGACCAACCTGGCTGGGATCCTTAAACAACTGAGTTCTTAAGAAGCAGGTTCTAGACCTCTTATTCAAGGGCAGATGGGTACTGGAGACATTAATTAAACAAATAAGAGGATGTACCCGTCTGCCCCTAGTTGTTTTTTTGTTTTGTTTTGTTTTTTTTGCCCCTAGTTTTGAGGCAGCGATATACATTTGAAAATACTCCATGTGAACTTACGACATTTTTTTTTTAATATCATCTCACTCAGCTGGCTGTGGTCCTTTGTTTCCCTGGTAGTATGAAAGGCTCAAACTCAAATGCCTTCAGGTATGAAGCAGCTAAAACAATTATGTCCTATAGCAAGGAATGCTTGTGACCACAGCAAACTGAAGGGTACATCTCTTACCTAGGGGAATCCAAATTAAATGATATTTAAAAATCTGAGCTGATGAAGACAAAGGAAAAAACACAAGCCTGTAGGCTGAATTCAGCACCTCAACTGTCACTTTGATACTTTTCAACGCCAGGGTAGCTAGAACCTGTTCTGATTTATTCTGATCTGTTTCTGCTCCCCCAAGGTCACTAAGGAAGATTTTTTTAAAGGCTCCTACAAAGAATAGCCAACACTTTACTGAACCAAAGCCCAGTTTCAAGCTCTAGGTCCTAAAGAGCCAGAGATGACTAACACAAGACCTCAAAGAGGTACCGGGCTCATTTTGATACTGTCAACACCATTCGTTCAGTTTCCTGTCTCTCATTCCCTCATTCATCAGGGATACTTCTCTAAAACATTGTTGGATAAATCTATTTTTACCTGCCTTAAAGATTTTTATTCAATATTTTTGACTCATTTCTTTTGTTGTGAGTATTAGGAACCCATTCAAGCCTTGACCAGCTCTTGCCTACCCACATTTCACCCTTCGTTCCTCATGCTGCTGCAGCCCCTGGACACCCTCAAACCCTGGCTTACATCTCTGACCGTGCCTTCTGCTCTGCGCACCCAGCAGAGTTCCTGGCACATTGTGTGCTTTTTGTGTGCTTAATGATTTCAACGGTCTTCTGTTGGCCTGGAATTGTGGTT